TGCATGCATAAATAAGTTTCATTATTGAAATGTTTTCTATGATTCTCAGGGAGTGGAGCGAACGCAGAAGAGAAGAGGGCTGCTCTGAAAATGGCAGATGACTTCATCCAGCAAATGAATTACCCCAAGATGAAAACACAGGTCAGCACTTGTAGAATTACTCTTGTGGTTTAAATTTTAATATTAAAAGTTTGAAAAGTCTGTAATTTATGCACCAGTAGCGACCCCTAAGAACTGGAAATGTATTGACCCAGGAAGTCGAAAAGATCGTATTTACGAGTTGAACGCACACGAACGGCATCACAAAGTCGTAAATACGAATGGGAAGCTCTGGATTTTCTTTTAACCCCGATCTTTACAAGTTGGGGGCGTGGCAGAATACCACAATATTTATAGGTATTTAGCAGTGACATTGTCAGGCTTTTTTATTCACAACAAAATAAGCTGATTCCCTCCACAAAATGTAATAGCATTGTGATATAACTATATAATATGTAATGATAAAGTTTACAGTGGCTTTATAAATTAATAAAAACATTAAAAAGCAAAACACACCTAATGCACATTCTTTGTTTCTTTTGTAGAGTTTAAAAACCTTGTGTAGTTAATAAAGAAACCCAGATAGCACAAGTCTATTTGATGTGATGTTTACATCTGGAAGACGTATTTTTAAGAGTGTTTGCTCATCTGCAATATGTCTATAGGACGTTTCCTGTCAGATATCTAATAGACGTTTAGAAGATGTCAGTTTAACATGCATTCTAAATCATTACATCTTAAAGACATCTTCTAAACGTCTATTTGACATCTGACAGGAAACGTCCTATAGTCGTATTGCAGATGAGCAAACACTCTTAAAAATACGTCTTCCAGATGTAAACATCACATCAAATAGACTTGTGCTATCTAGGAAAGGTACACCGCCATCTTGCTCCGATGAAAGTGACTTAAACGCACCAGACGTCGTAAACACTACTTCTCAACTTGTAAATACGAACTTTTCAGGAGGACTTGCACCATAAAAAGTCACGCCCCCCAAAACACATGCTATTGGTTGAGCTAATGTTATTGTGCCTGCTTAAACAAACCGTGACATGCGCTTACAATTCTGATTATGATATGAGTAGGTGAGTTGGCGATTTATAATTAGCAAATTACAGCATCTGTCTTCTAAATTCATGCGTCATGCAATATTGCTTGGTCGACAAAAGTATTCTATGAAATACTATTCTATATTCATTATGTTTGGTCTGGCCTTTCGAAGCATTACTCAAAAGAACTAAAAAACTGTTGAGTTTATAGTACCCATGTGAATAGATGCCAGATCCTCTGAAAATGTAGTGTGTTTCTGTCTTACAGGTGGAGATTTTACCACAGGGCAGAGAGACTGTTATCTTTAAACAGTTTTTCCTAAACTGGAATTAAACCTCATTTCACTGCATGATCAAAGAATAAACTGCACTCAACCAGTTGTCAAAAAGATACTGTAATTCACTTAAATAAAGTCACAGAGATATTACATTATTAACAAATGTACAGTTTTATTAAATAAGATCATGCGTATGAATGAGAGAGGCTTTACTATTTGTCTGTTACCATATTTGTATGTCTTTTAAAAGATGTTTATATTGATCAATACAAATTTTAAAGAGTTTTAAGCATTTCCCCCTTTTTGATTGAGAAAGTCAAATCTATGTTGCAGCCTTGACAGCCACGAACCGCTGAGTAGATGCCACTTCTACTTAAAAACAGAATAATGTTACTAATTTTTCAAGCCAATGCACTATTTCACAAACTCTGTGGAAATTCTTGTGCTTGTTGCTTTTTTTTTTACTCATTTTGTGTATGTAACTGCAGCATGGCAATAAAAATGCATTTGCAACAACAGGAAAGACTTCTGGGATTATTGCTCAGACGTGCATTCATGCTAATGCACTGGAATTCCCCTTTAGACAGATAAGAGGACACTGATGTTACGTAAGGGTACAGGTAAGGGTCATTTGCATTCAGGGCATGTGACCGTGGTTTACATAAACTCATAAATACACTTACTGTATGAGAAATAAAAGCTTACCAACTCAAAATTTATAAAGCTACACATGTAGCCTGCTGTGTTAAGAGATACTTTTTTATTTGTATGAGAACTATAAAGTTTGATCTGTGAACCCATTGGTTTATTTGTATTATTATTGGTTTATAAATCTGAATTTTGGATTAGTGGAGGAATGACATGGAATGGCATGGTTTCAGAAAATGTTCACCTACTTTCACGTGAACTGTTTTATGGTGTGAACTGAATTATGCTGTGTGATTAGGGTGTGATATTTAGGTCATGATAAGCAGGGTTGGGAAAAGGTCACAGTTTAAGAATACGCCCCTGTGGTAGATTTTTTCCCCCTACGCACCTGACTTAAGTTTACCTGGGTCGCCCCCTAATCGACGCCCCTAAACGTCTCCTGATCGACGTTTAATACTTATCCTCTAGCGCGTCTCCTAATCGACGTCGGCGGAGTCGGTAAACGTCTTGAACCTTATGAACACTATCACTATGAAATAAAATCTCTAGTCCTCCACTAACTTGCTGCGCAGACATACTTAACTAGACATACTCCAGACAATGCCTAAGAATATGCTTTAATCACGGCCGGAGGACCACAGAAAAAAATTCCGAGAGAATCCCACCAGCAAAAAGAATGCCACAGTTTTTTATAGAACAGGAGCATGGCAAAGGTGACATAATTACATAATTTTTCTTAAATATGATTGGATCATATGTATAATTCAGCAAACCCTACTGTTTCTCGTTATGAGCAAACACTGATTTCTTGATTATCTCACTTTGATACTCAAAGTCATGAGTTTATATATTTAGACATCTGTCTAGTTTAATTTCCTCTTTTGTTATATTCGGACATGATTCAGACACACACACACACTGACTGGTGGGGACATTTACGTTTCAAAAGCACATAATTATTAATCTTGCAAGAAAAAATAAATGTTAGTTATGATTAATAAAAAAATCATTCACACCCCCTTTCAGTTAATGAATTTGAATTGAATTAGGAACACTCCACAAAATGTTGAATTGTAATTGGAATGACACAAAGAGGAATTTACTGAATTGCAACTGGTATTTTCACTTGCAACTGGCAGATTCAGGACAAGCCATAAATAATGTATTTGAATGTATTCTGAGTAATTATGTCCATTGTCCCATGATATATAACATACACTTTTCAACCGATAATACATCTAGACATTTTTTTGTTCAATGCTGTTACATTAACACAGCCATCAAAACTGCACATTGTTCAGCTAACTTTTATAAAAAAAAATATTGACACCCCCAAAAAATGTTTAACTCTCCCATGGTACATAAATTAAATAAGTACAAATGTCTATTGGTGGCATGTCAGACATTAAATGTTTCTGGATAAAAAGCATATTGTTTACAGGATTAATTGTGTTTATATAAAAAGTACTAGACATGTTTATAATGGTTCTTTGAGTTTTTAAACATTTTGTTACATTCTATTTAAATTAAAATACATAATACAATTATGCACCCGTTTTATATACCTAAATTCAAATTCAGGAGTTTAAACGGAGATTATTATTTATTTAATCACACCAATCAATTTATGGAAAACACGGTGAACACAAGAAGTGACTTAATGGGTTTATGGATTATAAAATTTAAAATGTCCATTTCAACTAAATTATTATCCAACTCTTATGAAATTTTAGTGTGTGAAACAGCATGTTACTGAAATAAAGTTCATGCTAACAGCTATCCTTAGCAGTTATAATAATCATAATTTTCCCCACAAAGTTCAAACGACATGTCATTGCCATTACATTTTTGGTTGTGAACATGCTTGTGAACAAACAACCATAATGAGAAATTAAATACATTTTCAATAAATGCATATCATGCAGGAACTTCCTTTATTGGTTTATAAGGTGAGCAGCAGTTGCTCTGTTTACTGGTATTTACCATCATACTTTTACAATCCTTGATATTGAGCTCCCTGACATTTGTACAGCATTACTTTTTTAGGTTACATAAACTGTTTATAGTCATATAATATAACCATCCATCTTTTATATATACTGTGTGCAGAGGAAGGATGGCCGCACAAATGTGAGGCCTTTTAAGTATTTAACAAAAGTTTACTGAATGAAATCTGATTAACAACCACATGTATCACATAGTGAGTGTTCACTGAATCAGTAAATGTATTTGGCATTATACGCACTGCGTGAGTGTATTCGCTGTCTTTATTTTGTCTGAATCATTGCTGGGAAAGACTCTCATATCTCATCACGTAGCTTTCCTTGGCCTCCACCTCATTGTATCATGACCGTAATAATTCAGGTCCAAAGTTCAAACCATGGCAATGAGCTTAAACAAGGGCTGAGCGAGCGCCAATGATCAGTTTCCCCAGACACCTTCAGCATTCACCTTCCCAACACTTCATCTTGGGTAAGTCTCATTTGAGTCTCATGCATAGCTTTTATCATGATGTCAGTTACAACGTGCCGTTACTGAAAAACTGTATATTATTGTTAACTTCTTTGACAGAATTATTATGATTATTATTGCATTTATGCTTTTGGCAGATTATCCAATTATCCAAAGCAACATGTTTTGTATTCAATCTATTTTATCAGTTCATGCATTCCCTGGAAATCATCTTCTTTGAGCATCAGGATTGTAATTTTGTTATTTATTTTTAGTAATATAAATATAGTACTTTATGATATTTAAAATGTATTACAAAAACATTGTATAATATACGTATTTTTATAATATAAGTTAATAAATGTATGATTACAGTTCATTATTATTAAAGTATAAGATATGTATTATTGTTTTATGTTCTTCATCATCAAGGTTTAGTAAATGTGTTCCATTAATAAGTTAATTTGCATTGATAATATTCATAACTTTTAAATATGTCCCTCTAAAAAATATCCCTCTTTATAGGTGTTATATGCTGGAATATAACACAAAGCCATACACGATGAAGAGCATCCTGAAGGACAAAAGTATGGCTCTTACATAATATGTTCTCTCTCTGTTTTTAATAGAAGACAACTAGAGATGTCTGTACTGCTTGTATTTCTGTTTATTTAACACATTACATTCATTTCAAACTGCTGTGTGAGATGTTGATTTCTACACCAATTAAAATCGAACTAAGTCAAAAACCTTCCCTCTTTCTGTTCCTCTGCAGAAGGGCCCCAAAAGCAGAGTAACTCTATTGGGGCCGTGCGCTGGACGCTACCAGAGGAAACTGTTCAGGTCCACAGTTCTGCCCCCACCGGCCCCTTCAAGAGCAGTAGCGGATTTTCTACCCGTTCACAGGTAACAACTCTAACTAACTCGAGGATGTTATGGTCTGTTATCAATGTTGGGTCATGATCACAATCATTTGTGCACCACACTCATGATAAATATTTCATGTTTGTTTCCAGCAAAGGCAACGTCAGCAGGGCCTGCAGGACCTCCGCAGCTTGGAAGAGTGCATCAGATTCATCAACCACTGGAAGCAGCAGGTGGCACAAGTTTGTAAGGTCAGCCACTAATTATTTTACAATTTACAAAAGAATTTATTTTATTACATACTGTGTATATATATATATATATATATATATAATGTTATATTGCGTGTGTATATGTATATATATATAATTTTAGCTGTGTATATATATATATATATAAAGGATGGAATTAAATATAAAATGATATATATCATTTTAGCTGTGTGTATATATATATATATATATATATATATATAAAGGATGGAATAATTCTCTGAATCGAAAGTTTGCTTTTTTTACATTCAAGTATTTTCCTGTAAAGACAGTTGTCTTTACAATGCTTTCAGTTTACAGTATTATTTTATTGTTATTTTATTGTTATATTGTTTTATATATATATATATAATAAAGTAGTTCAGTAAACTTAAGGCATTGTAAAGACAACTATCTTAAAATCGTTTGGGAAAATACTAAAGCCAAGTTTCGATTCAGAGATTTACGTTCCATCCTTAACGGCTCAAGTAATAATTTCTTGGCAAACTCCTCTTTGCGTGCAAACTCAAATCAATAAAGTTTTATAATCCATGCTATCATGTGATAAGCGTTGCCATGCGAGACATGTATAGTGCTAGATTAGTTTATGTGAGCCCAGGGTAACTGATAACACATATCAATAGCCTCAATTGTGCATCTGTAATTCTGAGCCTTGTCACACCATGTCTGTGGTGAGGATGTGGGAGGGTGGTTTGGGTCTGGGGGTTAAGGGGTTATTAGATAAGTTACTACTACTAATAATAATAATAATAATAATAATAAAATTTTCTTAGATTATTTCAGTCATTTATTTAGTTTTTATCTGCCTTGTTATTAGAGGGCCCTTAAGGGGGTTTATGAGCACTGGAAGCATTCAATAAACAATGTGTCTCTGTCATCAAGAACAAAAATAGCATTTTAGGGATTCACTGATTTTAAAACTCATGTTATGTCATGTTATGGTTGATTACAGATAAATTAAGTTTTAAAAGATAAAGTGCATGTTAGATGACGACAAATATAATATAATAATTTAAACTAATAAGAATAATTAAATATCTAACATCGACTTATATTGTAATATCATCAGATAACAGATATGGTACATATATAATGTCCATCTATAAATGATTTGTAAATGTGTGCATGTGATTTACAGAACGAGGATGATCCCGGTGAAGGATGCAGCGGACCGTCCGAGCGACAGACAGACCGCAGAACTGAACGCAGTGTTGAAGAAAGCCGCAAGCTTATTCTTCAGTGGGCCAGTGAACTTCAAAGCGTAGACAAGGTGAGATTGACTGTAATTCAAAAAAAGACAAACATCTCAATCATACTGTACTGTTCTGGAGTACACTAGTGATACAGATCGACTTTAGTTCAACCATATAGGGTGACTTGCTCAAACTAAGCTTTCTGTGTGCATGTGTGATCCTCAGCTGTCTAAAAATCATTCTTGGATAAAGGAGAGGATTGATCAGGAGGAGGAAGAGGACACAAAGCAGGATAAAGATCAGAGTGAGGTGGTGCAGAAGAGGATCACGGAGTGGGCCAAAGAGATTCAGAGTGTGTCAGAGGTGGGACAACAAAAATATCTATATTATCTAGAGCGATGGTGTCTTATCTGTTGTTACTAACACATTAAGTGGCCCAAAGTCCACTTTTCTGCTTTCTTAGAATCGGTATCCACTTGTGAAATGACTCTTTAACATTTTTTTAATAGTCATATTTGTTCTTTCTTACTGAATGCAGAGCTGTGGAATGCTGGGAGATGAGCTGGCACAGATGTTGCGTCTCCTGGGACTGAGGAAGAAGAGGCTGGTTTCCCTCATGCCACTGCTGGAGTTCATTACTTGGAGTTTGCTAAAGGAAGACAGTAAGGTGGGATGTCTGTGAATGCACTGCTTTGAGTATTTCTGCTTGGGACATGGTGTAGTGTATAATATAGTCATGCAAAATTTAGGGAAAGTTTTGGAAAGTGGTGCCTTTTTATTTGAGGAAATAGCAATTATATAACTGAAAAACCAGAGACGAATATTCTGTCAATATTGAATCACTTTATCTTATTGAGGAAACCAACAATAACATTCCATACTTACTATAGAATCTGTAATATATGTTTTATTATCAGGGGCGAAGTGTGAGACTATATAATGAAATTGCCTGCATTGCTTCAAAGATAAAATAGTTCTGATAAATGTAAGGATGGAAAAATGAAATCATTATGGTCGTTTATAGAGCAAAGTTCAAGAAAGTATCTTTGGTTTACTGTACGTTGACCAGTTATTGCCATCTGTGACATAAGTTCGAGCATTTGCATTTGAGAGACATTTATTATGTACTGTACAACCAGTGACAGAGAAACATCATATATGATGAAAAATAATTTATCAAATTATGATGAAATTAAATAGCTGTAATATATCAAATATAACTTAGCTGAAGAATGGTTTGATTAATGTGTTATCTGTGTGGGAACAGTTTGGCGACAGGTTCGCTTGTTTGATTTGCAACTTAAAGTCTGTAAATACATCATGCATCGTGTAATTTTAACCCTAAAGTACAGTATAAGAGATCAAGGGTTGTTCATGATCCCTTTATTAAAATTGTTTATTAATGCTTGTTTTTGTATTTATTTTAGGGCATGGTTCCTTATCTGTGGCTTTCAGCTAAGCAGCGTACCTGGAAAGCTGGTGAGGGATCCAAAATCTAGCTAATATCATTATTAATTTTGTAAATATGAGTAGCCTACACCACTTAAATTAATATTCATAACTCATTTCTCTGGTCTCTTTTCTCAAACAGGCATGCCACGATACATCCCTAATTCAGGTAACTCTTTTAGAACTTTTCCCAGCACATTTGAGATATTTAACAACCACAAGTATGACTAACCAACCCAATTTTATGAGGTGGCGATTTCATATGAATTTGTACATTAATAATTTTTAGACAAAAGTAAGCATGAAGGTCCACCTAAACTTAGTTGTCAATGGCGTGTCATATGAAAACGTACGAAAGAGATCATATGAATTCATGCGAATTAACCACCGATTCGCCAAAATGCAAAATAGTTACGAGTTGCCATAAGAGTGTTAGTCTAGCTGTTGCAATGTCTAATATTCTTAGCAAGTCAATTAAGTTGTAAGATCTGGGCCCGTATGTATAAAACTTCTAAGAAATGATCTTAAGAATAGTCTTAAGCTTTGACTTAAGTGTAAAAAAATACTTAGTAAAGAGTAGGACTTTTCTAAGAGTAGGAGACTTTTATAAAGCAGCTAAAAGCAACTTTCAGTAAAGTATAAGACTGATTTTTAAGTGCTGACTGAAGTGGGACTTAAGTGCTGCAAACTAAGGACTACAATGATGTGAACCCAAAATGGCCACCCTCACCCTCTGAATCAGCCAATAGTGAGCCTGCAAGGGTGAGGTCACAGCAGCATGACACCAATTATTTAATGTAATTATAATAAAATAATTTAATTAAGACACTGAAACTTTAATATTTAAATGTATTTTTTTTAAATGGCTTTGCATTGTGCAAAATTATCACAAATTAGTATTGAAGGAAAATTGTCAGATTCACCCTTTATTCAAATAGTATTAAAAATGTGTTCAATATTTTGTAAGCGTATTGTGTAGTTGTGCCTGGAGTCAATTGTTTATTTGTGATAACACAATGAAACATTTCAAATTGACATAATTTTTAGCCAAGCTGTCATACAAATAAATTATGAACAGGTGAAAAAACAAGAGAGGAAAATCAAATATTAATAAATGATTATGTTGCAGACAATATATGATTTTTTTTTCTCCTGTGAGCTTTTTAATTGTAATATCTTTATTGTCCACCAAGGTGGAAAATTGTCTTTGGCTCACCAGCCATTAAAATAAATATACAGACCATAATAGAAGACAAAGACATAAAACAGACAGATCACAATTCATAAAAAATAAATACATAATAATCACATTTCACACTATAGTCATTTGGATTATCATTTACTTGCCGAGTTGAGAATTTTAACAGCATTTGGAATAAAAGACCTCTTAAACACATTTTTATTTTGTTAGAGGTGTTCTGTAGCGTCTTCCCGATTTCATGGGCTCAAATTGACTGAAGAGAGGATGAGAACTATCTGCAAGAATAGTCCTTGCCTTCTTCGCCCTTTCAGCATAGAGCTGTACTAGTAGCCTCTGTTGTCTGCCAACTATTCTGCTTGCAATTGTCACAATTCTGGCAAGTTTGTTCTTAGATCTGCAATTTAAATGATCATACCAGGCTGTGAGATGAAAAGTTATTACACTCTCCACCATGGATTTGTACACAAGTTCTAAAATATGCTGACTAACTCCAAGGCCACTAAGTTGTCTAAGAAGAAATAAACGTTGCGAACACTTTTTAAAAAGGTAGTCTGAATTATCAGCAAAATTCATGTGTGAATCAAGAATTGAACTAAACTTCTTCACAATTTCAACTTGTTGACCCACAAGTGAAATTGGCTGGATTGACATATCTGCTTTTGGGCAGATAACCAATTATTTTGTCTTTGCCACGTTAATTTCTAGTTGGCTAAAATGACACCACTTCTCCAGGGCCTTAATGTGAGCCAGATAGGCAGCGTCATATAACAAATTAGTTTTGTCCAATAGGCCCACTAAGGCCATATCATCAGCGTATTTGAACAATCTAAAATGTTCTTCTTTAATCGTAAACTTATTAGTAAAAAGAGAGAAGAACACAGGGGAAAGGACACAGCCTTGTGGGCAACCTGTACTTAAAGTTAGCATATCAGACACAGTCCCTCGAACACAGACCCTCTGTGTACGACAAGAAAGACAATTTCTAATCCAGCGGACTAAACCTGTATTAACATCTTGTTAAGAGAATATGAATCTTCATTGAATTAAAAGCCGAGCTAAAATCCACGAATAAAACCCTGACATATGCTTTGGGATGCATGAGATGTTTTGTAACTGTATTAAGCAGTGTCAGTACAGCATCATGTACCTCTGTTACTCTTATATGCAAACTGAAGTGAATCTAACCTAGAGGCGACAGTCGAAGTTAGATGATTAGCTAAAACTCGTTTCATAGTTTTACACAATATAGAAGTTATTGCAATGGGCCAGAAGTCATTTGGCATGCTCGCCCTTGGCTTTTTTGCCACAGGCCTAATTATTGAGTACTTCCATAATTTTGGCACTTTACCTGTGTCCAAAAGTAATTGGAACAACCTTGCAAAGACTCCTTTTAGTTGAGGAGCACACTCTTTAAGAAGGCATGCTTTTAAACCATCTGGGCCAGTGGTCTTATTAGGCCTTAGTTTACAAAGGCTTGCCATGACACCAGCCTCATTGATAACTATTGATGATTCTGCAGGGAGATTATTACATATCTCATCACATTCAGTCTTGCCTTCCACGGTGTCAAATCTACCATAAAAGTTATTTAAATCATTAATAAAACTTTTACTTACACAGTTATCATCCTTTTTATTTGGCCGACCCATTAATCTATTTAATCCCTCCCAAGCCTGTTAAGATATAAGTATCACCAGTTAGGAATTTTCCCTCTATCTTTTTGTTTTGTTTTTCTAAAACCTGTAGCTGTAGTTTGCCCTTATTTGTCACTTAATATTTAAAAATAATATTGATCTGCCTGCATTGATACCATTATATGAGAACTGAACTGAACTGGACGATGACATCACTGTTTTCACCAGAGTGGCTGTATAGATAAATTAACTAAATAGATAACTAATGATTTTTTACAATGGAAATAAAAGCTTTTGCTTAATTTCTGCCAGGAAGACTAAATTGTCACGTCACTTATTACCTTCTCATCTATCCAATCCTGGGGGTCCTTCATCTGTCCATACCTCATACCTCCCGGGGGTCGCTGCGCCCCTGCCTTCGTCTTTAAATGCGAGCTACGGATGGGACCTACGCAACAGAACTTTATAACACAATACTTGCTTGCTGGGCTGTTAATAAATGTATTTGTCACGTCATTTTGCCATATTTTCCTCATAATTTGATGGTTTAAGCAAACTTGTAGGGTCATTTAAAAAAAAAAAAAACTCCGCACATCACTTTTGGCCACCACTGTATATTTGGTGTGGTCAGTGTCACAATAGTGCTATTCAAGAGCTTATAACTGTGGACTGAAGGGCCCGAGTCATCACAGGTGCACTGCTGCATTTCTCCAGTCGCCAAAAATATAATTATTACTTTAATTTCATTGCTATTAAACTTTTTAAAGGTAAGTTACAAAAAGAATACCTTGATGATTAAACTTTTTTTTTTATTGTTTGATCAACTCATTTAACTATATATATTTTCGTTGAAAAGTGCATGGCCTAACCTCTCTGCTGCCATCTTGTTACTCCTAACTAGGTTAGGAGACCTCTCCAGCTCTCTTAAATAATTTAGGAGCTGAGACCAAGTCTTAGCACTTAGGAACTTTTATGAATCACACTTATTCTTAAGTTTAGGAATAAGAGTAAAATTATGTAATTCTTAGAATTTTGACAGACTTGAGACTAAAATTTTACTCTGAGTGGCTTTATACATACGGGCCCTGGTATCTAAACTCAATATTGAGATAATTTTCTCTTATTTTTCACAGTCTGGAGCTGGATTGTCAGTGCAGGAGGTAAGTTTATATCATCATATTTAAATAAGATAAAATCCCTTCACTCTAGCATTAGCAAAGTGTCAAATGCATTAGTCGTAACACCCTCATGTCTTTCTCTCAAATAGCTGATGTAAGTCTTGATCCCATGACCATCAACCCTTGGCTGCAGCTCTCTGATGACCACAAGAAGGTTCAGGAGGGCCTAACAGAAGCAGATCTGCCATACAGCCTTCAGCGTTTTGATAGCTTGCCCTGTGTCTTAGGCTGGGAGGGCTACATGAGTGGCCGCCATTACTGGGAAGTGGAATTTGCAAACAATGGTTATTGGAAAGTTGGAGTGACAACTGCTTCTTCAAAAAGGAACGGCCGCTTTCAAATGAATCCCTCTAATGGTTATTGGGTCCTGTGGCGCAGCACACGACAGTTCTTCGCCTGCACCAATCCTGAAACGGCCCTGCCTCTGCTGCTGGTGCCCCGGAAAATGGGAATATACATCGATTATGAGGAGGGACAGATTTCATTCTACAACGCGGAGAACAAATCACACATCTTCACCTTCACAGGACACTTTCGTGAGAAGCTGTACCCTTTCTTTGCCCTTCTGGATGGCAGGTCCGTTATAACCATATGGTCTCCTAAAGAGCATAGCCGCTTTTAACAACAAGGCAGGTTTTCATCTTTCATTCTGCACTTTCGTTTGAACATTTAGAACTTAACAAATGATTCACTGGAACCAAATCTACTGTCAACTAAAAAGAAACTAATAGCGACCTTTCCATTCAGAGGATTCAACACCATGGTGGGCTGGACCCGCTTAATGAGAGCTATTAAAAATACACAGATATACATCCTATTATTTTTTACAACATGATTGCTACACCTGGATATCTTTATCCATTTATAAAATGTATCTTTGCATATTTTATCTGGCTAAATAATTATATGCATCTAAGCTTGTCTATACTTCATATGTATAAGGAACAGTATGTGTTTTGACACAAATATTTAATAACATTGCATTATTTAGCCATGCATATATATGTATTCATCCTGTAAACATCAATAAATATTTATTATAGGCCTATCAATGTTTGTGTAGATAATGTCTATTAAAAGGTTAACCATTCTATTTTTTTTATAAATGAACAGGATGATTATATGTATTAATAAAACATAAAATGCAGGTCACCATGTGTTTAGTTATTGTAACTGTACTGCTGTACTGAGAACACATAATTTAAGTCTAATTTAATGCTGTATTTTGTTGACAGTTTCAGCTTTCATTAAAAAGAAACCATTCACAAATTAATATTTATGTGGACCTGTGCTCAGACTGAAAATGGAAGGGGCCAGAAGAGGACTTTGAGCCAGAGTAAAAGTCCTGTGTAAGAAACCTGTCCATTTAAATATATAATTTTCACCAAATTGCACGGGCAAAGACTCGTGAGCCTTTAAAAGCAATGCACAAGCAGATTGTAAAACAAACGCTTCACGCTTCAAACTTTTTTCTCCAAATTACTGAGGCAATGTTTAATTGAGTTCCATATTAACAGAGAATGTCTGAGAATGTCCGTAGACGGGCTTTGATATAGGGTTGATGGTCAATTTGTAAAAAAAAAAAAAAAAACAACAACAACTAGACTCTCCCTAACCTGTAGGATTGGGCAAGCAGACTGTCACTCAGTGGTAGAACTAACCAATCACAGCATCTCTTTTAGCCAGGGGCGGGATATTTCGGCAAATGGGTTAGAACTAACTTTTCCAGAGACATAGAGATTAACTTTTCTAACCTGTTGCAGCTTGCCGCTGCTCTATAAAACGTGTTTTGATGTTCATTGTTTCTGGAAACAAACTTTTGTTATCAGCCTTTGTGTATGTTAATTGCGTAATTGTTCATTATTATCATATTTTCCTTGCCGATTTTGTTTCTTGTAGACGCTAATAAAACTGATTGTGTCCAGAATCATGCGCACGGACTGGAAAGAAGTTACACCGATGTTCCTGAAAAGGTTTGTTGTGGCATTACGTTCATTTTTGTTTGTTACGCTGAATGTTCCCAATGGTACAAATACATAATACCAAATCACAACATTTATTATCACTACTCTAAATCCAGTAGCGGTTTTAATCAGTGACGGCTACTTGGCATGTGCCAGTATAGTGGCATAAGTTATATACACTACCGTTCAAAAGTTTGGGGTCAGTGATTTTATTTTTATTTTTTGGAGGAAAGAAATCAATACTTTTATTTATCAAGGACAGTAAAGACATTTATAATGTTACAAAAGATTCTATTTCAAACAAATGCTGTTCTTTTGAACTTCCTATTCATCAAAGAATCCTTAAAAACAAAACAAAAAAAAAACTGTACAACTGACAGACCAACAACTGTTTCAACATTGATAATAATAATAAATGTTTCTTGAGCATCAAATCCTCATATTATACTGATTTGTGAAGGATCATTTGACACTGAAGACACTGACACTGGTGATGCTGAAAATTCAGCTTCGATCACAGGAATAAATTACACTTTACTATATATTCACACAGAAAACAGCTGATTTACACTGGAATAATATTTAATACTATAACTGATTTTTGTTGTACTTTTAATCAAATAAGCGCAGCCATGGTTAGCAGAAGAGAATTCTTTTAAAAGTATTTAAAATTGTACCGACCCCAAACTTTTGAACGGTAGTGTATATATATATATGTATCAGTGGTGTGCGTGGTGTTTTAAAATGAGTAGGCTAGCCTATAAATGTTGTATTTATTAAAACCAAGTATAATTTTCAATTAGTTTTATGCATTTTTACATTTATTCCAAAATAATAACTAAAGGCAGCAATAATTTAAACTATATAGGCCTATATTATTGTGAACTAATGTTCAGCTTTTCTTTTTAATAGGCCTAGTTAACTTATTTACAGCAGTCATCAAGCACACTGGTCACAGACACGAAGATGTATCTTTAATTTCCCCAAGCTGATTGCTCACTAAAAAAAAACAGTCATATATGTTTTCTTTTCAGCCCATTTCAAGTTTTATTTTTACGTGACAAAGCGGTGAAATGTCTGCGTTGTTTACTTACTTTTTAGTCTTCCCATTATGCCATCATTGTTTTCATTCAGGGTGATGAGAACGTGCACAAAAACAAGATGCGGGATTTATCCTTTTTTACAGTCTATGGATTTATCGCACAAACCAATCATATCCAATCAAAGTGAAATGGGGCCATTGCCTCCTCTCAAGTGACTTTCCCCCATTCATTCTCAATTACCTCCCACTAAACCTACCGCACGCATCTGTTTTAAGTCAATGAGGACAGAGGCACGACAGACGCGGACTCCCACTGTCACTTCACCTGCTGCGGGTGTTGCTGTTGAACACTGTTCTCTTACGAGAGTATCTCTCGTACTGCGTAATAGCTTACGCTAGGGGAAAACCTCTTTTCCACGAGATATTGAAGCCAAAAATTATCCTTAATTTTTTATTAATGTAAAACGCTTTGCAGCAGCAAGCAGACAGGCGATACAGCTCGCGCGCCTATTGGCTGCTCTTGCGGCAAATGCAGCAGCCTATCGAGAGAGACTCTGCGTGACGTAATGACCAATGGGGGCAACTCGCGCCCATATCGTCACGTCCCGCCAGAAAGGGCGTGGTCTCACTCTATAAATATGCTCGTTAGGCTGGTACAAGCTGATTTTCATCTCTTCAGCGAAGCACACGCATCGCTGGATCCGGAGTGAGAAGCCACGCCGTCGAAGCAAGCTTTTCAGCGGGACGAGCTCTGGAGTCGCTGGCCTCGCCGCCTTCAACTGCCGTACCTGCTGCGCTTTCCGGCGTTCTATATCCTTTTATATCACTTTGTATCCTTACTCTGCTGAGAGTGTTTGCTCGCTTACTTGACGCGACTCACACTTCTCATCACAAAAGAGCTGCGTCTTTTTAAAGATGCCATCCTGTGGCTCGTGCCGCGCCCCACTCAGCGACGGGGACCGTCATCATCTGTGTGTCCTGGCTGGGTGAGGATCACGCGGCCATCGCGCTCGCTGACGGCGGATGCCCTCATTGCGAGCTTTTGCCTATGGTGACTCTGAGGACTCACCTGGCATCATTCTCCGAACCTTCACCACAGCCCGCCGTGGTGCCGCGCCGCAAGAAGCGCCGCGCCCAGCGCGCTCCCGAGCTTTCTACAGCCCGCCAAAGCTCGCCGGTTCGCCCGCCGGCTTCGCTCGAGTCGCTCACTGACGGACGACGGCCGCCGCCTGCTGCCGCGTCCGTCCACAGGATCGACGAACCCACCGAGGCTTGTTCTCTTCTGGCATCTGAAAGCGAGGATTGGGCGAGCTCCGTGGACCTCCCCTCCGCTAGCGTTTCCCGCCAAACCACTGGTAAGAGAGCCGGCATTGAGACTGAGCTGATGCGTCTGCTCTCTCAGGCCGTGGAAAGCATCGGCCTCGACTGGGAGGCGCCCGCGCAACCGCCGCGCGAGTCGTCAGGGAAACGGGCCAGCATCAAGACCGCGAGCCCTAAAACCGCGGCTAGCTTTCTTTACGTTATAAGAAATCTACCCCGCCCCCCATGGGCGTGCGTCACCGGCAAATGAGAAAAGAGTGTGTTTTAGTCCCCGCCGAGGCCGGACTAATCTCCATTTCTCAAACATTTCTCAGCTCCTAGTTTGAGCGGCTGAAAATGTCATTATTGCAGCAATGAGCCTGTTGTATAACACGCACACCTGCATACAAACGCCGACACACACAAAACTGTGATGACACTCTCTTATCTGCTTGCGCTAATGTAGTTCTCCCTGTGGCCCAGTGGCGGAACCCGAAGCCTTCGTGCGAGAGACCCGTGTTCGATCCCGGCTCTCGCAGCAGATAAAAATTTAGTCTCGCCGCGGCCAGACTCCCACCGAAACTTTTCGCTCGTTCAGTTCCAGAAAATGCGACTGTTCCAGTGTATTTTGCAGTAAACAAGCTGGTACCACGGCCCGCTTGCCTGCACATAAAGGCCGTTTCCACGGCAACCCAGAAAAATCATGTAATCATTGTATTTCTGGTTTTCCGGCCACAGCCGATGGTGTTATAAGTGTAATAAAATGCTCACAGCCCAGTGTTCATTTCTACACACAAACACAGCCCGCCACGGTACAGGGCTCGCAGAAATGAAATCGACGCATGTCAATTGTGCATTAAATGTAGTGAATGTGGCCACAACCCAGTGCCCACAAATACTACCACGGTTTCTGTAAAACGAAACCAACACAAGTCTTCCTAGCCTCCTAGGAAATCGACGGTGTTTCAGTCTCGCCGTGGCCAGACTTCCACTGAAATTTTCGCTCGTTCAGTTCCATAAAATGTGACTGTTCCAGTGTATTTTGCAGTAAGCAAGCCAGTACCATGCCCGCTTGCCTGCACACAAATGCTGTTCCCACGGCGACCCAGATAAATCACATAAACGGTGTATTTTCTGGTATTCCGGCCACAGCCGATGGTGTTATGAGTGTATTGAAAATGCCCACAACCCAGGGCTCATTTCTATACACAAACACAGCCCGCGAAAATGCAGGGCTCGCACAAACAAAATCGCCTCATGTCGATTGTGCACTAAATGTAGTGAATGTGCCTACGTCTCAGTGCCCACAAACACTACACACCACATGTCCCACGGGTTCTGTAAAAACGAAACCAACACGCATTCAGTCAGCTCAGGCCGACGGTGTTTTTCAGTGCAGTAAATGTGCCCGCTGTCCTGCGCCCACATTCACTCACAGACATGTTAAGCCCCACGGGGCTCGCCCCGCTCTCTCTCCCTCAGCAAACTGCTATAAGGGTTTTGAGCGGGGCCAGGCTGCCCGCCGCGATCGGCGCGCCCCCCGCCTCACACACTGTAAATACAGTGTCTGCGTTACAGCACGCCGGAGCTCCCTTGCCGTCACT